AATAGGCCGTACCAATAAGTCCTATTGTGTTATATTAATTAAATTGATTTTTGGATTATTCCCTTTTTTATTATACTGTTGTTTCGTCCCCTTACTTTTTTAAACGTCGATTTGCGTACAAGTCGCCACGGGAAGCTTTAGAACACCCAAAGAAACCCTTTACTCGTAAATAATTCAGTCTAGCTCTCATCCCAGTTGCGGAAAACCCCTCTTTGACCGATTAAATAGTAGCATGAAACAGTATGTTCATAAACTTTCATACTCCAAATACAATAAATCGGTCACTTAGGACCTAATATCTCAACATCCAGTGATCCGCTTTAAGCGAAAATACCATTTGACATGTCTATCTAGACAAATCAAATAGTAATATTTTCGCTCAAATTGGGTCGCTGGATGTTGAAATATTACATACTGTTACCGCCGACGATTAAATTCCTCTAACGCTAATTGCGGTTTTTCAAGGGATGAGTGGCTAGGACGAGCATCCCACCAACACCGGATGCATATGTCCACAGTTCCAAATCCAGTAAAATTTACATTAAATTCCCATTCCGAATATCAACAATGTTTCTGGTTTCCAGATTCGCTAGATTTTACAACAAAATAGCGATAGCTGTAGATTTTTCAGTAAAACAACAGCAAAATCCTGTCCCGAGTATCAACAATGCGGCAGTAGAATTTTCAGCATAACAACCGCAGATTTTCATTACGACTATCAACAATGCAGTTGATTTTTACAGTACAACAGCCACTATTCCCCGTCACGATTACTAGCAACATGATCTTCTTTTTTTGTGTGTGTATGGAAAAAGCTTTTACAGCATAACGGCTGCAAATTCCCACCATCATGGTGACAAAAACAATAAACTTCCTTTTTGGTATACGGCATGAATCTTCATCAGTCTCCGCACCTATTTCGTCGATTTGTAGCATTTGTCATCATCCTTCAGCGTTCTTCTCCCTCAGTATTTCCATCATTTATAGCGTTCCTTCATCAACTTGTAGCAGATTTTCATCAATTATCAGCTCATTTTTTCATCGGATTCTTTATTAGGAAAACATAACGCCCCCTAGATAGAAAAGCGTCTCTTAGATTATTTTAATGGCTATAGTAAAAAGAAACAATACAAAAAATTATATAAAAGAACGGCCTATGGGTTACTAATAAAAATTGAATTAAATTGTGTACAATTCTTCAAGCAAAAATCAAATATCCGTAGAAATCGGCACAGACTTAAGAAGTAAAATAAACGTTCTCAGTCTATCAACCTCTCCCAAAAAGACTTGTTGCGGTAAAACTTCCCCTTTCCACTCAATAATAACGAAGTCGCAACACTACTAAAGTAACACATTCATTTTTTTGACATTAATAAAAATGAATCGAACAATTTAGGACGTAATATCTCAACCCAGTGGTCCGATCCGAACAAAAATAATACCGTTTGATTCGTCTTGACTAGACGAATCAAATGATATTATTTTTGTTCGGATCGAACCACTGGGTTGAGATATTACGTCCTAAATTGTTCGATTCATTTTTGTCATATCAAAAAAATGAATCTGCTACTTTAATATGCAATATTTCGATATCCAGTGATCCGATTTGAACAAAAATACTACTATTCGATTCGTCTAGTCGAGGCGAATCGAACATTAGTATTTTTGTTCAAATTGGATCACTGGATGTCAAGAATTAGATTATTGGATATTGGGATGTGTTATGAAATGACTGATTATATTTGGGATGCGAAAGTTTATGAACATACAATACCCGATACGTATAGAATCTTTATCGATAAATAAAAAGGTATCAATGATCAGCGTTTGTGATATAAAATTTCAGGGACCTACAGATGATCTATCAAAAATTATCGGTGCGGGGATACTTTTGTCGGGCACTGTATGTATATTGTTATTATGGTGAATACCGTATATCGCTTCATAAAATAACTCTCTGTAAAATTTTGTCGCCTCAAAGCCATTAACTAACTTTAGAAGAAATTACACGTAAATTTTGAATTAGTTTATTGAAAAAATTGAGGTTTAATTTTTTTTACGGAGGGGAGTACTTCATGGCTAATTCTAATTTATTTATTGATAAAATAATACGAATTCACTTTTCATTGATCCATAGGCTAAGAATTTAATTGCCAACCATACAGTTAATGATACTTGATGATGACGAAACCTTTCGCCATGGACACTTTGGATATGTGGCGAATGACGAATCGTCTGACAAATAGATTAAGTCAATTTATCGGTTTGGTTTTTCTGTTTGCATAATTTTTACCAGTTATAGAGATTTAAAATTATACACTTTCTTGAGGTTTCATAATGCTGGCCGAAATCCAGCATAATTTTGATCGTCCATAGTACTCCAATTGGGTCGGGTTAGCCTAAAAATCGTTATTTCTCGTTCAATATCAATTGGAATTAAACGAAAATTTGTGGGTATATACACAATTACCTTCCGAACAACTCTACTTAGACACAAAATAAACAAGTGTCTTAGTAAAAATAAAAGTCATTAACGAAACTATTTTACGATTTTCGGGTCAAACCTGATTTGAATCCGACCCGACCAGACCCGAAATCATCGGTTCGGGTTGACCTCAAATCCGATCCAATCCGATCCAATCCGACCCGAACAGAGCTTTAATCATACATGGCCTTCGGTCAATCGAACACTAGGTTTCTAACGCAAATTTTAAAATTCGGAATGATTGATGCGCAGCACCATACGGCGAATGTTGGTTGTAAATATTTTTGATTGGTCAGAAGGTTTCTTTACATGTTCGTCAATCGTCATAAGTTTGACGTGACGAAACCTTTATGAAAATAGTTTCTTCAGGTATCATTACATGATTACCTATATTTCTAATGGACCGGGAATCTTTATTTAAAATACTTAAAGAACTAAAAAATTGTTAATTCTATTTTTGACGAAACGAATCGGAAGTCGGATTTTGGCATTTTTTTTTTTTGATTCTTTTACTTTTAAAATTAGTAAAAGAAAGAGAAAGTTCATGATAAGGTCATTATGTATGTTAAATTATGATGACGTAATCAGATGATTAAAGCTCTGTTAGGTCGGATTTGATCCGAAAATCGTAAAATAGTTTTTATTTAATAAATTTAACACGCTTATTTGGTGTCTAAGTAGAGTTGTTCGGAATGTAATTGTGTATATACCCACAAATTTTCGTTTAATTCCAATACTACAAATAATCTTTCTTCTTCTCTAATCAAACTTAATAATCCTTTTTCATTATGAGTATCAGATAAAATCTTTTGGGCTTCTTCTAATAAACCACTTATCTGACTATATTTGTTATATTTAGTAGCACCAAATTAATTTTGAACGAGAAATAACGAGTTTTAGGCTGACCCGACCCGATATATGCGTTCCGGGTCGGATCACGGATTGGATCCGACCCGGTTGGAGCACTAACACTGATAACTTAATGTGTAGAAAGTTTTGCATAATTAATTCCAAAACTAAATTTTGTTTATTATCTGAGAAGTGATTTGTAATCTCTTAATAACAATATGAAATTATCCAAATCTCCAATAAAAAATTGATCAGGTGCATACAATAGTCCAACATCATTTAATGTTATCGGAGCTACTTGTTACTAACGTTACTAGTATATTAACTATATTATATTTGAGCTTATTTTCAATTGTTTCTCACTAAAAAAAATTTAATTATAAATTCTATTTCAGAAATATAAGTTTATTTTGTTTTTTCATGAAGACCAAGCTTAATGACAAAATACTTTTATTTTTTTTAGTAATTTATTCTTTTCTAGATTAGTAATTTTTAATATAGCTCTAAAACCATTGAATTGGATTTATTTTTGATAAAAATGTATTTATCGTTGTTATAACTCTCAAGATAAATTTTATTAGATAAAAAGTTTACTATAATAAATCATACCGTATATCTCCGAAATAAGCTACCCCAAAAATAATCTAACCCTCCCGTGTTTCAGCTTAAAATCGGTGTAGATGCAATGTCCCGAAAATAAACTACCACCATTTTTTAATAATTTTTTATTACTAAATCACATTACATTATCACATTATTCTCATTGTTTAAAGCTTCCCCAATGTCAGATTCTGATACAGATTTACTAATTAATCAAAAAATCCAGCTCCCCCCAATGTTTCGAAGCCTAAAATATTGCAAAAAAAGTAGCTTATTTTCGGAGATATACTGTACATTGCATTCAAATATGTTAAAAATTTTTTAATTCAATTAAATTACATTGGTAATATTCAAAACACAATAAACTTAAAGTAATAATCTTTTTCATATTGCATATAAAGTAAGATATATGAATATAGAATTAGAAAGATGATTAGTTAGAATAAGTGTAAGAAGATAAGACTAGTGTTTGTTTGAAAGATTCTAAATTCACATAAGAGCCAGCTCACCAAGCTTGTGAACTTTTTTACTTCATATAAAAATATTTTTAAATGGAAAAAGTCAACTAAAGATTAAATTATATAATAGGTATTAGTTATTATAGCAGAAATTTAAAATATAATTATCAATACAGTTTCGAAAATGAAAATTTTAGTTACAAAATATTTAAGTTTGTGAGCTAATTTGAGCCAGCTTCTGACAAAATTTACTAAATATAATCTGAACAAACTAATTTTCTAATAAAATCATAGTGAATCGCATTACCGTTACTGATTAATCTATTTAATTGAATGATTTCAAAAAATATTTAGCTGAAGATTACAAATTTTTTGGAGGCACCGAAAAAACTGGTATTGATTCGGATGCATAAAATAAACTCAATTGAGCTGATGTTGGGACCGTTAAACCAGAAAAACCTCGCCTAGGATATGGTTCCAAATTTTCCGGAGGCGCTGAAAAAACTGAGGTTGATTCGGATGTATCAAATAAACTCAATTGAGAAGAATCTCGTCTAGAGTATGGTTCCAAATTTTCTGGAGGCACTGAGAATGCTTCGTATGTATCAAAGCCAATTTGAGCTAATGCTGGGACTGCTGAATCAGAATAACCTCGTGTAGAGTAGGGATGATAATAACTGTTTTGTTTAACAGGAATATCATAACACAAAATCAATAAAGTTAATTTATAAGACAGTTTTACAGCAAAAAAAGCTAAAACTCACGATGCGATCTTCTTATTCTTTAATTCATTGTATAATTTTAAAAAATAATCATTTAATTCGTTTTTATGACGTTTCCAAAGAAATGTGCTGATCTTTGAAATGAAGCTAACGTGATTAACTTTATCAGATAATGGGCACGATAGCTCTTTACAATGCAAGTTTTTTGCCGCAGAATTAGACAAGCAAGTTCTAAGCAATTTAATATCTTTTTGTGGGTATATTTTAGATTTTTATCTCTAAACTCGTCTGCATAAGGGTCTAAGATAAAATCGTGCTTGCAATTATTTGAATATTTAAAAGATACCAGTATCTTACAGTTTCTCGCTCAACCAAGACGGTTGAGCGAGTTAACTGTATTACATGATGTGAACGTGTTATAGAATCACTCATATTTTGAAAGAATAAATATGGTGATAAAAGGAACAAAAAAGCTATTTTATTAACATATGTACAGTTTCGGAAGCTTTCTTTCTCAAACAACAAATTTATTTGAATAGCAGCAAAAGATATTACAACGGAGTTTCTTTGAAAATAGCCGGCTGCGCCAAACAATTGCAGATATAAAATTCTTAATTTGGGAGTATATACAAAATTCCGGATTTGACTATCCATTAGTAGTTTGTATTCTTATCGTTATCATACTTATTTTTATCATTTCTATCGTTATAAATAAATATGATCTATTGGCGATTATAATTTTTCTTTTCTGCATAAAACGATCGATACACCAAAACATAAAAATATCAGTATAGAAATTCTCTGACAATCTCTATTAAATATTAGACATTATCCCTACTCCGATTCTGAATCAACCTATGGTAAATAAGTCAAGTAATTATAGCTTATATGCCAATTTGTCAATTATTTTTAATTCCGGCAAGAACTAAGTTCCAACAGCTGGATCTGGGTTCTAATTAAATTAAGAATAGTTTTCAACTTTGCTTTATTTTCCAATAGTTAATATCAGTATTTCGTGAAGCTTTGGTTTGAATACTTATCTTCATATCAACATCTTACATACAAAGAACATTACCCTTATTCAGTTTTTAGATGTTACTTCTGCATATTTTTTGTGTGAATGAATCAGCAATAACTCTGTTTTTTGAATATATATATATAATGATTGCCGTCCCGGAATTTCTTTTTTTATATATTTATTTCCTGGTGTTGACACGCGGTTTATATTTCTTGGCGTAATCAGATACGTAAAACAACTATCGCCTGATCTTAGTGCACTGTAAACATATATCGATATACGTACATGTAAATGTACTATAAAACAATACGTACTACGTATATGTAATACGTATACATGTACTTGATAAAAATCATACATATTACATGTATTTATGTTGTGCCCGAGATCGACGCTTGAGTCAGATCGCGCTTCACGTGATTATTTTTGGCCAACATTAATCTATTTACCAGCATTAACCCTAACCTTAACTCTAACTCTAGTAAAACGCCTATCCTGATTTGGGCCAAGCGCGATCTGACGCAAGCATCGATCTCGGGTACAATATATATTTAAAATTATACACTTTTTTTCAAGTATTCATAATGCTGACCAAAATTCAGCATAATTTTGATCCTCCATGGCCATCAGCCAATCAAACACATGTACTAGATTTCTAATAACGTAATATCCTTTTAAAAAAAGTACCCTAGCTACGGCAAAAAAAAGTGGCAAATCATGTGATTACGATCCAGATGCCGACCATCCGATATCCCCTTAAAATTATGCACCAATCAAATCGCAAGATCAATGTGCAATGCAAAAATTCAAAAATAAACAAAACAAATGCTTATTTTTGAAAAATAGGTTATATCTTAAAATTTTCCCTATGAAACTATCTTTTGTGCTTTAATTAAAAATGTTCCTTGCAAAATTTTACTATATACTATGCTCCCGTTTATTATAAAATAACTTTAACTCTAAACTTAAACCTAACTCTAACCGAAATTCTATTTAATATTATGCATTATAATTTTAAAGGGGGATATCGGATGGTTGGCATCGGGATCGGAATCACATGATCTGCTACTTTTTTGCTGTGGCTAGAGTACTACTTTTAAAATTCGGAATAGGATTTGTACATGTGATTTAAGCTATTATTTGATTGGTGAGAAGGTTTCATGAATTATCATGTAATTTAAGTTAATATTTTGATTGGTCAGAAGGTTTCATCAAGCATCATGAGTTTCATCAATTGTCATGGGTTTCGCCTGACGAATGAGTACCCTAGCCATGGCAAAAAAATGTTCGGTCATGTGATTTTAAGGGGTAAATCAAGCAAATCGCATAGTAGACTAGTGGTGACAAAAAAATTTCCAGGTCCCGTGATCTCCAATCCAGTTCCGGCGCATCGGATGATCTCTGAACCAATCGGCCCTTTCATATGATTTGTCTTAAACTTTCACACACTTGCATATTAACTTATTATTTAAGAAATTCATAATGCGATGAAGCAAGTTATCAATTTAATAGTTTTGAGGCAATCACTAACATCTTTTCAGGGAGAGAAATCTCCAACATAAATTATTTAGCAGCATATTCTAATGATTTAGCAGGAAAAATTATTAAAGTACGATTTGAGTGAAGAATTTGCATGTATAATATGGTAAATTTTAATAATTTCTATTAAAATAATTTTTTAAAACAAATCGAAAAATATTCTTAATTCCTATGGTAACCAAAAGACCAATTTTCTGTTTTTTTGCAGCTTCCAGGTTTGTTGCTGACTTCTCGCGGTAAGGACTTCATTACATGCAGCAGTTTCAGCAACAAGAGGTCATTTAAGAGTTTTATACACTTCATAAAACTTGTCATTTTCAATATTGTCATTTACAATTTTTACTAATGTCTTATATGCTTCCATATCTGCTGCTAGCTCTGCTTTTCTACTTTCGATAACTGCACAGCGATCAGAAATAACTATCCTTGTGTTACTAGTTGATGCTTTGGGTTCATGCTCAGATTCTTCAACACTATCCTGTAGAATATTTCACCAAGGATTGTTGCTCGAGTGGATCCTCGAAAGGCTTGTTTCATTAAAAGCAATAAACGGGTAATTGTGACGTCGTATCGTGACAAGAAAATGTGGAAAGAAAGCTGGATTTTCTGCAACATAATTTTTCATCGGGTGTTTACATACCAAATAAGGGTTCATTATAAAGACAAAACAAGAGCAAACCCAAATATTCACATCAGTATGATATTGGTCTTCTGCACTTATATCCTTTTCTATAGCTGATTTCCAATCACGCTTAAACAGATCCCACCATGACGGGAAATCACGGTTATTGCAAAACTTTTTCCAAGTGTTCTCCATGTCTGGAACCAGCTCTCTTGTAAGTATTTGTGTCAGGCGGTCTAGGCGTGGCTGATTACAATTATACTTGTAATTGTATTTAAGAACACGCCAGTGCGATTCCGTAATCATAGTGGTTCTGGCAATGGGCATTGCTTTTGGATAAGAAGCTCGTGCAAATAGCTTCCAATCCTTTTCGTTATACCAATTTGTCCACAAATATCCCTACAAGTTAGCAAGATTTTTTTCACGACAGAATTGGTAGGTTTCTAAAACACTTTGATAATGAATTTCTTTTGCTGTGAGGAAGATATTTTTTTCTACAGGGATAAGTGAATGTAGAATTGCATGCTTTTTAACAATGTCTAGCAATTCTTTTATGAATTCTTCGGAACATAAAGCAGTCTGTCGTCCTCCAGGTATCCATATCGGATCAATGAAATCAAATTGATAACATGTTTCATTTGCCTTTTGTGCTAAATACTGACTTCCTCGAACTTTTTTTTCTTTTAGTTTGCGTTCAATTGCGTACTCCACATGCCAAAGGCAAAGTTGTATGATTGCTATCCAAGACCAAGCCTCTTGAACAGCAGCAATTTCTCCCGAATCCTTGTCCAAAAGCACAAATATTGGTTGAATACCTTCATTTCGTAAGTCAACAAAGAATTTCTTGAGCACACCAACTCGTGTATTCACACGATTACTGGGATGTGAGAGATATTCTTCTGATACCGTATAGGTATCCAAATATAAATATGCAAGGGGGACATCGTATCCACCACAATTAGCATTTACTGCAAAGAGTTCGAACTGTTCCTGATTTGTTTTAAAAGTCGAATCAATAATAATCTCACTTATATTATCTTTTTGTAGATTCTGAATGAATGGAGTAATGAATCTGAGTGAGCGCACAAAGTCATTCTCACAGTACTGAACAACTTTGTATCCTTCATCTGCCAACTCTCTTTGTTCCAGGAAATTCTTTGCAGATTTTACTTGGTTGACTACGTTAGTTATATATAGCTTCGTTGAAAGTCAGTATATCCAATAATACACTTGTTGGTAAGTATGTAGTGATGGATTTATTAATTTTTTATCGCAAAGTTATTTGTAGAACTCAACTTTTCGTGAACTGTGATTAATGTGCTGTTGTATCCATGATATAGCACTTGTGGGCAATTTGGTTGCTCTATATGTGGGATATTCATGAGCTATAAGGTACTGTAAAGATATCATGACTTGCTGCTCACGTAGATTAACTTTAATCACTATATTACCATTGCATGGATAACGCTCGATGGCAGGTCGCACTTCACTTATCCGCTTTGCAGGTTGGTCATTTGTGCATTTGTGTTAACGATCGATTCTTTGAGCACAACCTAGATAAGCTGTTGTACATTCTATATATTGACCATTTTTCTTATTCATATGCAGATTTCGAAGTTCCCAATAATAACCTGATCCGTCTTGAAGAGATATGAGCAAAGCGTTTATGATGTTGCGGAATTTTATAACTTCATCATTTTGATTAACTTCAGATGACAATGTTTCCTCATAAAATAGTTCTTTTTCAAGTTCTACCATCACTGAGAATTCAACGTAATCATCCTTTTTCTCGCTATTCCTGAAATTGATAGATACAAGCTCTTCAAGATCACATACGTTATAAAGAAGGCTGTCTTCGTTATCTTTACTCATAATTTTGAACGTGTCATCATTGGAGGCTAAAGATTGAATATTTTCAGTATTGGCTGATCTGATTTTGTGCTGTTTCTTTTTCCTATCTTTTTCAGTACATAAGTTGCACACAGAAAATGTTGCCATTTTATTTTCACGCTGCTGAGTAAATTCAGAACTTAACTTGATCTTATTACAGCAAGAGCACCACTTGCTTTCTTCAACATTATGGATATCTATAGAAGTTCAATGTAAAGATGAGAATTCAATACTATATACAAATATAACAAAGTTAAAGATGAACAAAATGCGCATTCTTGGGATTTGTACCCATTAATGTGCATTAATCCATCTTTACTTATCTAAATAAGTTTTAACTAACCATTGACTGTATTGTTCAGA